CCCTGCCCCAGAGTTTTAATTAGTTGCACAAGGGGGGGGGGGGGAAGACAGGCTCCTTCATATACTGTCGTATTTTGGATCCTCACTCTATTTTTGCACTTAAATGTGATTAATTTTCCATATGGATCATGTGGGTAAATTAAACAAGAATACGAGCTCTTAATTAATAAGCTTTACAGATCATTGAGAAAGACTCGACCTATAAATAAATGATTGCATCGACAAAATCAGTCAGCCAGGTGAATTATTGGTAAGAAGTACCTCAAAAATAGGGTTGCCAACCCCCCGATGGGGGTGAAGGTTCCCCCAATTTTGGGGGCCCAAATCCACTGCCAGCCAGCTGGCAGATGGGGGAGCCCCACCCCTGAACAGCCCCGCTGCTCCCAACATTCCCAGCACGATGACGTCACCCAGAAGTGATGTCATTGCACTGGGCTCGTCACATGGGGGACACTCTGGCATTTGGCTAAAAACTCTATGGTGACCATAGAGGTTTTAGCTGAATGCCAGAGCGTCCCCTGTAGGACATGCCCAGCACGATGACATCACTTCCGGGTGATGTCATTGCAGCGTGTGTGCTATGAGCATGTACCAGAACGCCCCAGAGGAAGGCCAGGTTCCCCCTGCCAGCAGAGAGGGTGAGACCTGGCAACTCTACTGAAAAATCAGTGAGTCAAATGGACCACAGATGAGTGAGTACACAGTGAGGATATGATCTATGGACATATCCGAGTATTGATCTGCCCGGTGAGACTGTGACTAGATTCTCCAGAGGATATTTTGACCACAAACGTTAATGCTTAAAGGGAAACAATAATAGAACAACGAACTCCATCTTAAAGACTGGTTCATCATCATTGCTGCAACAACATTGGATAATGGGAGCAGAAGATTAAGAAGATTGTAACGAAGGAAGAGAAAACAAGATGGAAATCACACTTACCGAAGAGGACTTGACTTTAATATGGGGGGATTTTTTTTAATTTCCCCAAATAAGGCTTTTTTGGGGAGGAAGATTGTTAATATGAGATGCTGATGTTTTCCGTTGTTTGCTAAAGCAGTTTAATCATTGAGCTTTTGTATTACTCTTTGTATAGTCAGATTTGCTGGATTGCGAAAGCGATAAGCGAAAGATTTGAAGATCACTTTCAATGTTTACAAATTTCCTTTGTTTTTTTTTAAAAAGTCAAAGCTAATTTGTTTAAGCATTGTATAACCTGCATCTCTTGGGTTTTCTTTACTTTCACCCATAGTTTGTAGATACCCTCCCTTGTTTCTTTGTAGTTTATAGAAAATGCAATAAAAAATCCCCTACGGGGGGCTTAAAAAAAATCAGCGAGTGACTTGGCCCACAAATTACAAGTACCTTTTCAGCCTTGACCCCTGGTGGAACATGGTCCCAGCTGAGATCAGGGCCTGTGAGATTTATCAGGGGAAAGGAGTTCAAATTGTTTCTGCTGCCTATCCCGTTTTCCGGTCCTCCTCCCTGCCGAAGATGTTGTGGTTGTCCTCACATTAATCGGCTCTTACGTGTTTTGGCAAGCGGAGGAAAGAAAATCTTCCACCCACAACCCGATTCTGGATGAGTGTCGTGGAAATGAGCAGGGTGGGGGTCTGTTGCTCCAAAGGTGCCTGCCAGATTTTTCGGTGCAATGATGACACGGGCTCACTGGGCAATGAACCACTCCCAGCAGTGCCCACTAGAGATCTCAGTGCAGCAGCATCATAGAGATAGCGGCGGTGCTCCCTAGCTAGGCATCAACAACTCTGTGATAAGAACATAAGAGACACCAATGTTGAATCAGGCCAAAGGCCCATCCAGTCCAACACTCTGTATCACACAGTGGCCAAAAATACCAGGTGCCATCAGGAGGTCCACCAGTGGGGCCAGGACATTAGAAGCCCTCCCACTGTTGACCCCCCCAAGCACCAAGAAGGCAGAGCATCACTTGTGCCAGAGTACCTATCTATACCTTGTGGCTAATAGCCACTGATGGACCTCTGCTCCATATGCTTATCTAATTCCCTTTTGAAGCCGTCCATGCTTGTAGCCACCACCACTTCCTGTGGCAGTGAATTCTATGTGTTAATCACTCTTTGGGTGAAGAAGTACTTCCTTTTATCCGTTCTAACCTGACCGTTCAGCAATTTCATTGAGTGCCCACGAGTCCTTGTATTGTGAGAAAGGGAGAAAAGTACCTCTTTCATTACCTGCTCTATCCCATGCACCTTATAAACCTCAATCATGTCACCCCTCAGTCGTCGTTTCTCCAAGCTAAAGAGCCCTAAGCACTTTAACCTTTCCTCATAGGTAAAGTGTTCCAACCCTTTTATCATTCGAGTTGCCCTTTTCTGCACTTTTCCCAAAGCTATAATATCCTTTTTAAGGTGTGGTGACCAGAACTGCACACAGTATTCCAAATGAGGTCGCATCATTGATTTATATAGGGGCATTATGATATTGGCTGATCTGTTTTCAATGCCCTTCCTAATAATCCCCAGCATAGCATTGGCCTTCTTTATTGCAGTCACACACTGTCTCGACATTTTCAGTGAGTTATCTGCTACAACTACGTGATCCCATGCAGAATACACAGCTGTCTTGATTAGCAAGGAGAAGCGTTTCAAGTCACAACAGTCGGCCTGCCTTCCCGGGTGAGCCGGCAAAGGTGGTCTTGAGGGGGCAGATCTCTCGGGGAGGGGAGGGCCTTCCAAATATTAAAATTTCCAGATTAGCAACGTTCTTCACAGAGGCGATTCGTCAACAGATTAGTGCGAGATACAGAAATGAACGTAACTGCACGGCATGGCCGATTAAAAACGGGGGTGGGGGGGTTATGTTCTATACAGAGGAACCGTTTTAACATTGGTGGATGTCAGAAGAAAGGGGGGTGCCGGTCAGGTTTTTGATGTCTCGTTGCTTCCTGTTGAGAAGCAGTGAGGGCCAGTTTGGTGTAGTGGTTAAATGCATGGACTTGTTACCAACGGCATCCATTTTGGACTATGTTATGAGTTATGCTTATGGACATATGCTTGACACAGCAAGGGCTAGTGAAGAAACTGTGAAGCACAGGGTTCAACCAGGGGACAGGCAAAGACAATGCCAGCTGCATAGGATGATCATCACCTAGCTAGCAAAGTCTCCGGAGTCGTTAAGCTCTTTATGTATGCAAACATTAAGGTTGATCACCGCCCCGAAGCTAATCAAGCCTAGCCCAGACCGAATGTCTACATCTGACAAGCTTAAGTTCTCCCGTGCCAGACCATCTATAGAGAATCCATTACACATAGCAACTAGCACGTCAGCGCTACTGGAGACCTGGCACGTATCCCCGCTCCGCCCAGACACCTCCCCTCTAGTTAATCGATAGTTTGAATATTGACATCATCACCAATCACTGACCTTTGGGGTCGGGCTACCTGATAATCCGTTTGAGCCCACCCCCTCCCCTCGCAGCCGAGACCTTAAAACATCTTGCACAGAGCCAAGAGGGCTACCTTCCTTCCTACCAACGACCTCTTCCTGTCTGCTTAAACCTCTCTTGTCCCCCTTACTATACAAAACCCCTGATTACCGCTTTGCCTTAGTCTGCAGCTAAGGTCAATACACGTGGTCCCGGCTGGTCTGGTTTCACGTGTTTCCACCCCATTTTCTATCCCTTCCGTCCTCCCCATCCCGCTGGAAGCTTTAGGAGCGACGCACACGACATAGGTAAATATATCATCCAGAAACCAACGATTTCCTGCTAATGCGATTGTGCTGATATCTACCTTATTTTCTTAGTCCTTGTATGCTTGAGTGGTTTTATTATTATCCCTGTGTGCTTGAACGACTATACTCAGTAAAGAGAGATTTGTTTTAACTTCTGTTTCGTCTATTCATTGAAGCGTAATGGCTTAGCCCATCCTGCGTATACACTTGACCTGAATCCCGATTATTAAACTGTTCCAGTTGTCTCTCCTAAAGAGCAATTCGGCTAACAGACTCTAATCTGGGAGAACCCATATTTGATTCCCCACTCCTCCACTCGCAGCTGCTGGATGACCTTGGGCAAGCCATAGTTCTGCCAGAGCTCCCTCAGCCCCACCAACCTCACAGGGTGTCTTTTGTGGGGAAGGGAAGGGAAAGGAGTTTGTAAGCTGCTCTGAGGCTCCGAGTGAAGGGCGGAGTGTAGATCCAATCTCTTCTTCTTCTTCTTTTGTTCTAGGGTTCCATATTAGCGGGAAGAGCAGCAGGAAGCACCACACAGAGAAAGAGAGAGAGAGAATCGTCCCTCGGCTCTTGCACTCTGTACCTCCAGTCACCATGAAGGCTCTCCTGGGTCTCCTCCTGCTCTCCGTGCTTCTGACGTCAGGTATGGGGCTCCTTGGGGAGAGCGAGGGGATTGTTCCTTGGGGGTTGGGGGGGGTCATTGGGGCCCGGCCAGATTGCTTCCTTGGTGTCCACAAAGCCTCTATACGTAAACAGGGCTTGAAGACCATCACATCAAACCATCTGAGGTCTGTAAGGAAAGACCCTTTGCCCTCCCCCTGCCCTAGGGTTGCCAGCTCTGGGTTGGGAAAAACCTGGAGATTTGGGGAGCGGGGTGGAGGCCGGGATCTGGGGAGAGGAGGGACGTCAGTGGAGGGATAATGCCATAGAGCCCACCCTCCGAAGCAGCCATTTTCTCCAGGGGAAGTGAGCTTGGTAGTTTGGAGACAAATTGTAAAAGCAGGAGATCTCCAGGTGTCACCTGGAGGTTGGCAAACATACCTCACATGTGCTTCTTTTCAAGGTAGGAGATGGAAAAAAATGAGTCCTGGGGCAAGGGAAACCCCAGGTGCTGGCAAAGACAAGAGCGTTATCCCTTTGGCTGGAATTACAACTGGACTTCAGTCGACAGAGATCAGTTCCCCTGGAGAAAATGGCCGCTTCGGAGGGCGGAGTCTGTGGCATCGCATCCTCGCTGAGGCCCCTCCCTCCCCGGGCTCCACTCCCCCCCCCATAATCTCCAGGAATTTCCCAACCTGGAGTTGGAGACCCTTTTTTCCAGTGGCCAGGAATTCCCTTGCCTTAACAGACCTGCTGTGGTTCAAGCGGTTAAGACGCTGAACTGCAGGCTGTGGAAGGTCAGTAGTTCAGCAGTTCGAGACCCGAGTGCCGCATGACGGAGTGAGCTCCCGTCTCTAGTTCCAGCTCCTGCCAACCTAGCAGTTCGGAAGCAAGACATTGCAAGTAGATAAATAGGTACCACTTTGGTGGGAAGGGAACAGCGTTCCGTGCACCTTGGTGTTTAGTCATGCTGGCCACATGACCACGGAAACGTCTTCAGACAGCGCTGGCTCTTCGGCTTTGAAACGGAGATGAGCACCGCAACCCTAGAGTCGGATTCAACTGGCTTTATCTTTACCTTTAACAGACCTGATGGTCAACCTGGATCGCGAGCCCCTCCAGACAAAGAGCTCCTCGCGCCTGGGAGGAAGCAAAAAAAGATGGGGAGTGGTGGTGTAATGCTGGAGTTAACATCGCCGGTAGGGGCTAGTAGTGATGTTCCCTCTAAGCTGAGTTGGTGTGAGCTGGCTCACAGTTTTTGAGTTTCCGGCTCACACATTTTTGTCTTAGCTCAGGAAGGATGGCTCCAGAGCAAACTAACTTATGCAGCAGCCAAATCACCTGCTCACAACTTTCATGCCAGTCGCTCACAAAGTAGAATTTTTGCTCACAGGACTCCACAGCTTAGCGGGAACATTGGTGACAACCAATGCTCCCTCTAAGCTGTGCAGTGTTGTGAGCAAAAATCCTACTTTGTGAGCTCCTGGCATTCAAGTTGTGAGCGAGCCATTTGGCAACTGCAGAAATTAGTTTGCTCTGGAGCCCTCCTTCCTGAGCTGAGACAAAAAGGTGTTTTAACCGGAGGCTAAGAAACTGTGAGCTGGCTCACACTCACTCAGCTTAGAGGGAACACTGGTGACAACTGAGCCAAGCGCATTGGAGGGAAATCACGTGAACAGTGCCACAGGGTTTCACCCTTTCCCCCCAGCAGAAGAATTTAGATCTCTTTCCAGCCGATATTCTCGATGACGAGACCCTTGTATCTTCCCTCTCCAGGTTACTCTTTGGAGTGTGAAACGTGTTCGGGTCAGGGGACCACCTGCACCGGCAGGAAAGTGACCTGCTCTGCCAACGAAGACACTTGCCTCAATGCCGTGACTGAAGTCTCCGCAGGTGAGTCGGGGGAACCAAAAGCCAGACCGGGCTAAAAAACTGGCGGCAGGATCGTTCGATCTAGCCTGAATGCAGCAAGCAGCTTTATACCAGATCAGGCCACCAGACTATCGAGCCTGGTATTACTTGTGTAGGCTGGAAAACACCTCCCCCAGAGTCTTAAGCAGAGGCTTCTCCTCTGGGCCTCTCTACAGGGGACATCAATCCTCTCCAGGTCTACTTAGGGTTGGCAGGCTGCAGGCAGCAGTCCTTGGGAGAAAATGGGAGCGAGGCCTGGCATGCTAGCATGCGGATGTCACTTCTGGTAAAACCCGGAAGTGATGTCATTAAACGCTCTAGAATTTTGCAAAAACACGATGGATTTATCATAGAGTTTTTACAAATTACACAAATGGAGGAGGAGGAGGAGGAGGAAGAAGAAGATGAAGAGGTTGGATTTATACCCCGCCCTTCACTACCCAAGGGAGTCTCAGAGCGGCTTACAAACTCCTTTCCCTCCCCTTCCCCACAACAGACACCCTGTGAAGTGGGTGGGGCTGAGAGAGCTCTGACAGAAACTGCTCTTTTTCAAGAACAGCTCTTATCAGAACTGTGGCTTGCCCAAGGTCAGCCAGCCAGGGGCAAGTGGAGGAGCGGGGAATCAAACCCGGTTCTCCCAGATGAGAGTCCGCGCACTTAACCACGACACCAAACTGGCTCTCTGATACATGCCTCTGTTTTATGAATCAAGATGCAATTGAGTTCCCAAGTTTTCATTCTGCCAAGTGGTGACCAAGCAACACATCCCAGGAGGTAGCGAATGCCCACCGGCCAACATTTCATTAATGACAACAGGCGGGTGGGCCTGTGCATACTGGTGCCCGCTGACACCTTTCCTAGTGCTTCCCGAGTGTTTTTAGAAAGTAGGGTGGGCCAAGTGGGGACTTTTACCCAGCAAGGCTTCTGATTGGCCACTGGAGATTGGATTGGCTGTGCAGATTTTTCAAAATGTTGCTTTAGCAAGGATCTTCATTGTGTGACGGAAGGTGAGCCGGGGTGGCCATTTTGTGGCTGGCTCTGCCTCCTGCGGCTGCCATTTTTGTGGCAACCACTTTGAGGCTGCGCCCACCATGCTGTGTCAGAATTCCTGCAGGCTCCGAAAAGTTGGAGACCCATAATATAATAATAATAATAATCTTTCAATTTATTAATCGCTCAATCCTGCAGAGCTTGCTGGCTCTGAGCGATTTACAGTTACTCAAATACACACAGGACTAACAATGATTCAAGGGGTAAGGGAGGACAACATATAACCTTTAAATCACACACATTCGCAGCTGACGGGGAGTTTGTACAGCTGTAAGGTCAGACGTGTTCCAACGGCGTTTTCCCCTCGGCGTGGCTTGATGTCGTCAGTTCTCTCCAGACTGCTTCAAGTTGCAGTGCAGCACTGCCACCGCCTGGCCGGATGGCCCATTACAGGCTTCCTTGATGCCAAAGAGTTCTTTCTAGGCTTTCGGTCTTACATGCTGGACATTCCGTTCGCCGGCTAACACCTCCCCCATTGGGTACCTGACTACAGTGGTGCTACGTGCAGCTGTTCTTCGCAGGTTTTCGTTAGGCCGGTTTTATTCTGGCCTACCAGATGCCAGAATAGGTGCCTTAAGCATGCATACCGTCAGAGCAGGGCTGCCAGCTCCCGGTTGGGAAATTCCTGGAGATTTGGAGGTAGAACCTGGGGAGGACAGGGACCTCGGGGGCGGGCGTTTTACGAGGACATAGCATCCCCCTTCCAAAGCATCCATTTTTTCCCAAGGAACTGATCTCTGGAGATGAGGGAACCCTCAGGTTTGAAAAGCATGGATCCCACGACTGGGTCAGAATAGGGGGGCAGTTATGAGTCAGGGAGGTAGCTGCTGTTTTCGTTCTCGATGCCTCCATTTTACCTCCTGCCACAGAAGTGTGCTGTCCTCTTTTAATGAACATCAGTTCATGAAGGATTGCAGCAGAAGATGCTCTCAGGTTGAAGGCAAAAACCTTCTGTCCGGCCACAGCGCGCCCGTTTTCTCCAAAGGGGATCCCGTGCACACACAAGAGGCACAGTGTCTGAAAAATGGGCTTTTTGCTAGCCTTGGGATCAGATCTGGTTTCATTTTGATCATTTCGAGGGGGGAGGTGGATTTTGTCGTTCCCCCTTGACCACAAGAATGGGGAGGTGTGGTTCATGTCAGGCAGATGGACAAAATATTGCGGAACAGGGCTCCCCAGCCTTTTTGACGACACAGGTGCTTTTGGGACTCTGAGGCAGTGTGATGGGCGCAACCGCAAAATGGCTGCCACAGGAAGTAGAACCACACACACAGAGGAAGTCCAAATGCAGGAGAGAAGAAGGGCAATTCGGGAGGGGGGAATACGTCGGGGAAAGAGGAGCGAGGGGGAGAATGGAACCAACGCCATTGGCCGCCAAAACGACACAGCCAATCAGAAGCCCTGCTGGGCAAGAGCCCTTCCTGGCCCCGCTCACTTTCTAAAAACTTGGTGCCTGCCGGGAAAGGTATTGATGCGCATCCTGGTGCCCACATGGGCACCACACTGTGGATGCCTTGGTAGCTCTTGGGAACGGAGACTCACCTCTCTTCTTTGATTTTCAGGCGCGGTAAAAATAAGCACTGTCATGAAGTCCTGCTTTGTAAAAGAGGGCTGTGATCAATTAAAACCTGGGAGCACAGCGACCTTTGGAGGAGCTGGGGCTCTTATTAAAACTGCCGAATGCAGCAGAGCTCCAGTGTCATCTGGATCCTTCCTCCTGGCGCTCTCTAGCCTCCTGTTCTTGAAGTTTCTCTGGTGAAGAGGCCCCTCCGCCAGCCACCCGGCCCTGAAAAATGCTTCCTCCTCGCTTCTATGCAACCTTTCTTGGGACCCCATCATCCAGCCCTTCAGAGAGATTTGTGTCGTCTTTAACAAACCCACCCCCTACAAATTATATAACACAAAGCTCTGTTTCTATATGCACAGTATAAGGTCAATTCAACAGTCTCCAGTTAAATACAGCTTTTGCCTTTGAACAGAACCACTGTGGAGAAAAAGGAAAACAAGAAAGAAGGGTAAATCCTTAAATTTTAGAGTACAAAAGCTATTATAACCATGAGCGTCGACATTATATTTGTTACCAAAGAACAATAAACGATATGCAAAGTTCCACCATTATTTTGTCTTTTGAAGTCACTGTATCGTTTAACTTGTGATCTGCCATGTTTTTTTTAAATTGGTTCCTAAAGCCTCTGAACACAGAATTGCACAGTTGTTTGCAGTGATCAATTTTGACTGAAGGGAAGCTCTGTGTGTGCGTGCAAGAAAATCTTTTAAACAATACGTTCGTTTTTTAAAACAATACGTTCGTTTTTTTAAAAAGCCTCCTGGTTAAGCACAGTTTCTGCCTCAAATGCTGGAATGTTACTATTAGAGTTATGCATAACCTTGCTCCCTGACATTTGGTGGCTGGCCCCGCCTCCTGCAGCAGCCATTTTGTGGTTGATTCCACCTCCAGTGGCAGCCATTTTGTGGCTGTGCAGACCACCCTGTGTCAGAATTACAAAGGTCGGTAAAAAATGTTGGGGGACTCCTGCATTAGAGTGCTGCAGGAGGGAGATTTAACTCATTGACTCAAATCAAAATTAGATTTTTCAGAATAAAAGCACTTCTTAGTTTGTTGCTACTACCATGAACACAATTTAAACTGATTTTTATACACTCTCACAGGGTGCGTTATACTTTAAAAAACCCATTTGTGTTAATATTACCCTTTTAGGAAATGATACATGATATGTGCCTTGCCTGATGGATGTACAGTTCAGTGCATCTGATGAAGTTTAAAGCTTATAGTGGAATAAATGTGGTTAATCTTTAAGGTGTCACCAGCCTCCTGATTTATTCAACACAGGGATCTTTACTGTGGTGGGAAGGCCTCCTGACTGTTGTACCAAGGATTGCTTCAAGAATTCCCAGGATTCCTCCTGTTGTGCATCCCAGAACCATTTGTTTTTATTAATAAGACTATTTTGTCGACTTGGTGTTTTGGGAACAAATTAGAGAGATATTCCCCAAGATGTCTCACTGCTGCCCTTCCTTCTTGGATGTTGAATATGACATTTCAATGTCCAGGCATTTTTTTCCTTCCTTCCTTCCTTTCCTTCCTTCCTTCCTTCCTTCCTTCCTTCCTTCCTTCCTTCCTTCCTTCCATCCTTCCTTCCTTCCTTCCTTCCTCCCTCCCTCCCTCCCTCCCTC